GAGAGAGATGAAGCAACAGGATTTATAGGACATTTCAACAAAACGTATCTGGTAATTGTGTTTTTACAAAACGAACACGTCGTCCTGTTGTGTGGATGGACTTTTCTTCGTCTCCTGTCACCTTGAATCCTCGTCAACCTTTGCTGTAACTGAACACACGCTCAGCTGTGACCCGGAGCGAGAAGCCAAAAATAAATCCCCACAGTCGCTCATTTGTTTAGAATCGACATTTTCCTCCCAGAAGCCAAACCATCAAAGGAAAACGCTGAAGCGGTTGTGAGTGGCGGCTTTCTGCAATTGGCAGCTTACATTTAATATTTGAGCTGTTTACTCACCAACCAGCTCACCACAGTTAAAATACTACCTGTTCTTCCACACACCCCTATATACCAACGTGATTTCTATGAGATTTTCATGGCAGTTTATTTGTCAGATTGTCGTCACACCCTGTTGGTTTTAACCTCTAGTTTGTCTTTGTGTGTTTTTGACTTTGATTGTTTGACGTTTTCGTCACGTTTTTGACTGATTCTCCTGCGGTCAGGGTGTCCCAGCTGAGACGAGCGGAAATAACAGGGAAGTAATAACATGAGACAGATCTGACAAATGCTCCAACAAATCAGAATAAAGTTTTTAAGATGCACTGCCCCCCCCGTGGGACAATGTGGCCTTGGTAGTGCTACTTTGGTCTGTACTGGATTAAGTCTTCACACAACCTTGACAAATTATAAATAGTTAGAAAGCTCTAAGTCTCCTGATATTATCACTGCAAATAATTTCAGGATCTCCAAATCCGATGACACAGAATAGGTTCAGACTTGTGGCTGTCACTGAAGGTCCTGAAACAGGCTTTATATTTACTTTCTAATGCCAAAGAAAAATAGGTGAGGCAAACCACCACTTCTACCATGTTTGTGCTTCTGTAACTTTGCCTCAATATCTCTTATTCTCATTCTGACTTTTTGTTGTAAAAGAGTTTCCTTTCAAAGGAGACCAGCATCATGACTGGAATCAGACGGGTTGAAGAGCAGAGCAAATCGGGGGTGTGGTTGTCAAACTTTCCGCTAAACGAACACAACTTAGACCACAGGCCAGATCTTGTCCCACCGTCCCCCATCTGATTTTTGCTTTTAGATGTTTTATTGCAGAACGTGTTTGAAAGCCATGACGAAAATAGTCAAACATTCAGTTACTCACGGATGGAATTACTGCTGAAATAAATGATTCTCCTTTTTTTTTTTACTGCGGACTCCACTTTGAGAACCACTGTGTTAAGGGATTAAATAGAAATACATATCCCTAACCTAAAACATCTCATCCTAGAATGAACCTAAATGGAAATTTAAAACAACCCGAGAGCTGTCAAAAACCATGAAAATGAAGGAGACAAATCCAAAACAAGAACAGACTGACACATTAAGACTCTAAAACACCCCCAAACATCAGCAGCCAGAGGAGAGAGCGCCAAGTCCCCACAGCAATGACTTCTCACACAGAACTCACAGAGACAGAGCAGATATCTGTAGTTTCACATCTAATTGCACCAGTTTCCAGGGAACAGTGTTTATAGAAGCTCCAGGACCCTCAGGTAGATGTTGTTGTTAAGTAAAATACCAAAGCTGTATTGATTAGTTGATTAAATGATGAATCTATGGACAGGAAATTAATTATTAATCATTAAAGTCATTTTTCAAGCACAAATGTCAAACACTCTCTGGTTCCAGCCTCTCAGTCGTCAGAGGTTTCGCTTCAGTATTTTAATTGTACACTTACTGGGCCTAACATTGACGAAATGAGTGACGAGTATTGTTGTCCTGGTTTACGGCACACGCTCTGAGCCTCCTCACTTTATTTTTGTGGCTGGAAAACAGTAGTGAATCTAAAAAGTGTTTCATTCTAAATCATTTAGTCTTGTATCAGTTTGTGTCACTCTGTGCCTTTTGTTGTAATAAAATAAAAACATTTTGTGGAAGAATCATTTTAATGTCTTTCCCCCTCCCTGCTCCTGCTGTATTATCCCCACTGTTCAAACACTCTCTCCTCTTGCACTCTCTGCCTCTTCCTCAGACGCCCCCGGTCCCTCCGGAGCAGACGGCCTGCAGCTCGTAGTCCATTTTCAGTGTTTCATGTATAATACAGCAGGTCCCTTCATCAAAGTGGAAATGTCTGTCAGAGCAGAGGCCAGGCCAGAGGTTCAGAGTCAGAGGAGTCCGGAGGGATCTGACAGCTGAGGAGTGGGTGGGGTGGGGGGGGGTGGGGGGGTGGGGGAGGAGGATTGGCTGTCTGACCGCAGCTTTCAGTCTGCTGATTGTCAAAATTTTGCAGCAATATTCAGTATTTATAACAGGACTCTGTTTTTATTTACAGTCCTGTCATGGAGGAAAACTGTTTTTTCAGACCATGTAGGGCTCATTAAAAAACAATAATAATAAAAACAGAAAAATGTCACATGACCAGGTTAAAATCAAATTTTAGAAAATCGATTAAAATTGGATTGGATTTGTGACATAAACAGTAGTAGTTAACCACATCTTGTTATTTTTTGCTCAATCAGCAGCTCATTTCTCTCCATTTTATTTTTCACCTTCTGTAACTGCATGAACTTGAACTTGTTTATTGTAAGCTTCACTGAACCGTGTGTTCCTGTAGGTGGAAACGTTCGTGCATTGGTAACTAGGAATCAGTCCAACCTGAGTTTCTATTTTAAAATCGAAATATTTTCTGTAGAAATCCAGACGGCTGTTTTTGCTGAAATGTTGATCCTCATGAGTTAAAATAAGTACAGCAGTGTGTGCTTATTTTATTTATTTATTCATTCATTTATTTATTTATTTTTGAAAACTGGTAGAAATGAAAAAAAATAAGTTTTTTTTTTTTTATATGTACAAGATTTTGACTTTTGGTAGCAACAGAGGAAAAGTCAGGGGTCGAGACATCTGCGAATATCATTGCAAACCAGCCATTAGATATTTAATGCACAAAGAGCTAAAAGGACAAGTAACCACCTGCAAAATAGAAAGGGTCTGTGTCATCGGTGGCTGTGTATGAAGTGTTTTTTGACAGAGGTCGCAGCCCAATACACAATCGTGTAGTTACATGCATAAGTTGAAAGAGTAAAAATACACCTTGGACCCGAGTTTCATGCATACAGTGGGCTGTGATACAGGTGCTGTGGACGAGATGTCCTGTGTAGACAGTGTGGTGTATCTTCTACACATGGAGATTTGAACCTGATGGTGGCACCAGAGGAACATCAGGAAGGATTTATTCTCCCACAGCAAACATCACTGAAATGTGGCCATTCGTTTTAAAGATGCTTCGTCACAGACCGAAGTGTTTGTCCAAGGTAAATTATAGACTGTTACTGTTGCTAAAATCCATAGGAATCATCATCCTGGGACCATGAACTAAAACCAAATTTCAATATAAATACTGTGTGTTTCTCGTTGGACAGTCCCGCAGCCGACACCCCTGCTAGCAGAGCAAAAACACCGGCGGCCACTCCAGCCTTGATGAGTCGCATCGGTCAAACCCTAATTTACAAACATTGACTGACCCCAGAGACTCTCAGCTGTGTCCGTCTCTCCCACACACAGCTCACGGTGTCTGCCCCGGGCCATTTTCATCAGCCAGCCCTGTTATGTCAGAATATAATCTCAGCGTACTGTTGGATCGCAGCCAAATTATGACTCACACACACACACACACACACACACACACACGATGGAGTGTAATTATCATAATTGTGTCCAGCGTTCTAGGAACCACTGTGTCAGGCCCAGACTCCACACACTAACCTGTATGAACACGGGCTCATTTCCCACGGGCATCGCTGCTCTGCAGTGACTCCAAAATAGACCGAACCATTTCCTATTGACGATGAGATTAGAACCCATTTACAAAACTAATCTAATGAAAAGGGACAGGAAACTCACAGAGGTAATTTTTCATTTGCTGGAAAACCCTCTTAGACAGGCGCTTGGTTATTTGTGAAGAAACATAGAGTCTGTTCAACTCAGTTTTTCTTAGACATACTAATTGCACTAATTGCACTTGTCATTAAATCTCTGTATCCACTTACATTAATAATAAATTAATAATTAATCTGAAACTGATTTAGTGGCATATAAACCAAACTTCTAGGTTTGGTTCTTTAAGGTGTTGAGCTTTCCGTCACAATACTAATATCTTGTTAAATACAGTATGTGTTAAGTCTTTATATGTTTGTGTGCATGTTTTTACAAGTCACTCTTTGTAGTTATTTGGGATGATGGTGTAAAAAATAGACATTCAACTTCCTGTCTCATAAAATAAAACATGTTTCTCAATAAATAATTGTGTTTGGGTTTACACTTGATATCCTCACTTTGTATAATGTCCTGTCCCGAAATCCTGTTTGAAAAGGAAATACGTCACATAAAGGAATGAATAATGTACTGTAGTTTTATGGGAACTTTCAAGCCAATCATATGAAAGAATTAGCAGGAACATTATTTGCATTATGAACAGCTGTTGACACAGCTCGGTAAAAATGGCATAACGCATCAGTTGCTTGTTTGAAATTTGTAGTGTTTATTAAAGTTATTACTTGCTGTGTTGCACAGTTGCCTTTCATATCTGCTCACCCACAACCAGTTTTAAAAAGTGATGTTGATGTTTCTATATCAAAGCAAATTGTAAACAGTACCCCCCCCCCCCAAAACATCCTCAGCATCATTAAAAGGCCAATGTCAGCCACACACCACACAGTGTTTTGATGTTTCTTTGCATATTTTGCTGATGATGTACTAGTTTTTATTTCAGTGAGAAGCAAGGTGAAATGCATCCTGCAGTTGTGATCATCAACACAAACAAACAACCACCATTATAGACAAAGAGGTCAAAACCCCCTCCTCTTTTTCACAGTCCTGTTGTGACCTGTACATTTTTTTTGAAAGTGGATAAACTGGATTGGATTATTCCGGTTTGTCTGTATTTACCTATTTTGCGTATGTTTCCAACAGGACAGTTTTCCTGCCAGATTTGGAGGGATCCACTTTGTGAACCAGCCGTGGTACATCCACGCTCTCTACACCGTCATTCGACCCTTCCTCAAAGACAAGACCAGGAAGAGGGTAAGGCCAGAAGATCTTCACTTTAAGTAGCTATAATCAGTGTATGTATATTACTAATAGACTTGAAGGGGTTGACTTTCGTTTAGTACCAAACAGCAGACGCAGTTGGTGAACATAATGTAGCATTTAGCAGCTAAAGAGGAGGAGACCAAAACAGAGCTAAAAAATATTTTATATTATTTATTGAGCTTACATTCATCATTTGGTCACAAAGACCTCTCAAAATACAGTTCATCACATCAACTTAAAAGGTGATGATACAGTATGTTAATGCTGTGTTTACTGCTTGTTTCCTCTGCACACAAGTGGCAAAACAATCAGCGAATGCAGGTTTAATCAGGTTTTTCAGCTGTTGCAGAGTCACAGAAACATTTCTGTTTTTGTCATTCTAACTTTTAGAAGAAATAGTTTATCTACATTTTTATAAAAAAACAGGTGATAAAATTGCAATAAAGAGATTTCTTTCTATATTGTGATAATTTGCTGTTGAGGCTGATTGAACTGTTTTGCAAAAGATCGTATTTTATTATTAGTTTTTTATGAAATGTAAAAGTAAATTGGGGAGATTCTTAACTCAAATTGTCATGACTCATTTAGCAACATATAGACTTACATAACAACACATAAAGTGAGCTTACTGTGCCTGAACTCCAGGTTAATATATTAGCTTTATTAGCTTCTGTATTTGATCAAGTCTTTCTATTAAGGTTAATTAGGGAACAAGGACATTATTTGTGTGAAGATGACTCTGTCTTACTGTATGTGTCCTGTCCCTGTGCAGATCTTCATGCACGGTAACAACCTGAACAGCCTCCACCAGCTGATCCACCCTGAGATCTTACCGTCGGAGCTCGGCGGGATGATGCCGCCATATGACATGGGCACGTGGGCGCGAACGCTGCTGGACCACGCCTACGACGAGGAGACCGACTACTGTCCGGAGTCCTACACCCTGTCAGTACAAGACCTGGAGAGAGACCTGGAGAAAAACCTGTCCCCGAAAACCATGAAGAGGTAGGCCCATGAGTGCCAACACCTCCACAGGTGGAGTTTTCATGGAAGTAAGGGAAGAGCTCTGCACAGGCTTGTTACTGGACACCTACACAGCCGATGTCTATGGAAGGGAAGGTTTTATTTTCCTGTTTCATTTTCCCAGCAAAAGGGAAGAGATTTCATGTACCAACTTTCTGGTAACACGTCTTTATAAACTCAGCTAGTCAGAGGGGTTTTAAAAACAAGAAGTGCATGAAACACTAAAATAAACCAAATTAATAAAGTTATTATTTTGAAGGAAATTAAAACACATCAAGTGAAAAGGAGTTAACCTAAGGTTGCTGGCAGTAATTCCATTGTATATACTGTATCAGTGTATCAACAGAATACCAATATATTGTCAAACTAATTATATTATCTTCGCATAATTAGAGAAGACAAATTAGACAATAGTGGAGCTAATGTGCAGATTTTATCTCACACTGTGGTATTTCTGTCTTCTTCTCCCACCTCCCACTCTTCACCATGTCGCCAGCATGGTAACATGGTGTAACTGATATATTCATTTATTCATTTCTTTATTTTACAGGAAAATAACTAAATAATGTGAATAATGTTAAGTTTTTATTTAATTAATTAATTAATTAATTAATTAATTAATGTTAATGTTAGTGTTTCTTCAGGTTTCTTGTGTTTGACCACAGTGAGAGAAAAGAACTAGTGAAGACAGATAAAACAAAATATGAATACAGAATATATGTAAATAAACAGATGGAAAAAAATAAACCAACTAATGGAAATAATGTAAAGAAAGAAATAAAGAAATAAATTAAAACAATCATCAAATTGAAATAAATTTTAGTCTATAAATAATATAATCCCATATAACAGGTAAAATGAAACAAATGTACAGTATGTTCTCAGTTATATTATTATTTATTGTTTCTTTATTTTTCATATTGTTGCAACTGAATGGCATTTATTATTTTAGTATTCTTAAATATTGTGAATGAATGTCACATATTAGAGTTTTAGCACAATAAAAGCTTTAGATAAAAATCAAATAGAAGGTAAATCAGCTACTGGCCTTGAAAACCTTTTATGAACTGGTTTTACCTTCAGAGTTCAGGTCGGGGTCTTGACAGAGACTGTGCTCTTCTGGTTTCTGTGGCTTGATGCTGCTGTGAGTGTGTTTGACATTTTATGTGAGTGTCATTCCCCCCTATGGGCCACCATGCTGTGTGATTCAGCCTGACAGTAACTCATCCGACCACTGTGTGATACCAACCGACTCACTCACTCAAAGACATTTAGACTGTGTGAGAGAAACAACAGTGTGAGCTGAGACAGAAAACTGTCACTGCAGGGAAACACAGCTCTGCCAATTATCAATAAATCACAAGTCAGTTATAAATGATCCGACACGTCAGAATCATATGTGGCATCCTTAGGTTTCATTTGAATATTATCAAATATTATCATAGAAAACCAGTGTGTAATAATTCATTTTTCCCATGCATGATGGGGTAAATGTATGTATTGGCTCATTTCTGCTGAAATGTTGTTTTTTTTTAAATGAAGGACAAAAATAAAAAATCTCACAATAAGTTGGAAATATTAGAAGTTAATACTAAGTTAAACATTTAACTTACTAATATTTTAACTAAATAAAATATAAACTAATTACTAAACATACATTTTATGTATCAGACTTGCATCTTTTAACTTTTTTTATCTTGATGTGAAAGATAAGATGAAGCTACTTTCTCTGAGATGCATATAAATGTACATATAAAATAAAAACATATATTTAAACATGATATATTATACCTATTAGAAATTGGAGAAATGTCATATATTTACATATGTGTCTAGCCCATTCAAATATGTATGTTTATGTATGTATTCTTATATTGTAGATATACTGTATTTCTATTCCAAAGCCTTTTAATATGTGTTGACATTATATACAGTTGGGTCCAAGAGTCTGAGATCACTTTCCCAGAATACAAACATGTATGTGTTGTTTTAATAAACTCGCATATATAAATTAAATATATATCGTTAACACATATGGTCACAACATGTTATACCATATAAAGATTCAACATATACATATTTTTAATATACAAATTTTACTATGGGTATTGTGATTATCACATTTTATGAATCATATATCCAGGATTTGCTGCTGGAGTCTTGTAGGAGACATTCAGCTATTAGACATAGTGACGCAGACCTGACACCTGTGGCAGCAGGGGGGGACCCTACCCAAGTAGACTGAAATGAATTGGAACCTCTGGGTCTGGTCACAGTCACTGGGAAGTCAGAGGAGCACCAGCGCTAATGCTAATCACCGTGTGCTGTGTTTCCCTGCAGGTCTCAGTCGGTGGTGGAGCCGGGCGTCCTCAAACGACCTGACAAAGTCAAGAGTGAGGAAGACAACATGCAGCCGCTGCTCTCGCTGGACTAAACAACACATTCACAGCTCAAAAAAAAAAAATCATACCCAGATCAATATTTACACACAGAAATACTCTTAACAAGACTTACCTGTGCACACACTGTAAGCGACACACACACGCCCTGAACGACACACTCCTCCAGAGAATGCTGCTGCTGCTGCTGCTGCTGCTGTTGGATTCTTGTTTCTCTTGAACTGTTGAGCAGATATGAGGCAGACGAATGGCCAGAGACGAGAGGGACGTTTCCCCGGACTGAAGGGCGTCTTAAGAGCTACTGATGGTGTTCTATATATTTATTTATTTTAGTTATTTGTCAAGTGCCAATTCCAAAAACTGTAAATTAACGTCTTTAAACAATCCAGCCCCTCGGTGCGGAGGAACAGGGAAGTCGTGGAGGTGCCACATGAATGAGAAAACAGTGTTTCCCCACAGTTGTATATTATATGGGTGATGAGAGATGCGGGAAACTGGAAATCATATTTCACAGAGGGCTCGGGGCTATGATTCTTTTTTCTTCTTCTTCTTTGTACATAATTTGAAGAAAACGCCTCGCACGGGCGCAACGGCGGCTCAGGATTAGCAGAAGCGACGATATTGAGTTTGTTCAACCTCCTGGACCCAAACTGGCAGACCAGCAGTTGGTTTACTGGGAGTTAACTGGGTGTTAACTAGGGGGTGGGGGGTGGGGGGGGGTTGGCATCTTTCCTGTGAAAATAATGTCTGAACTATCAGCCTCGCTCCACTTATCTCTTGGAAAAGCAAACCCCCCTTTACGGCAAGAGTTGGCTCTATGAATTATCTGCTTTTTCCTTTCGGCCATTTTCTCTCTTTTCCCTGACCCATATGTCACAGAGGACAGAATCTCTCCTGCCATTAGGACAAACACAAAGCTGCAGGCTGCTCTTTAAACCATGACTCAAGTCTTTGTTTGGCTGAAGATGACCAAAAGATATATTTTCAGAATCTAATGGATAGGATGTCTAACCAAATAAATAAGGCTAAATTTAAAAAAAAAAAAAAAAAAAAGGGAAAGGGGTCACCTCCTCCTGTTACTTTGTGACGCATTTGTTATATTTTTAGCAATAATAATCTCAAATGTTGAAACATTACCACAGAAAAGAAAACAGTGTTTTCCTTTGACTAGAGTTGATTTAAGTATAAGATTTAAAGAATTAGGCGTTAAAGGACTGTAGTGTTATTTTTGCATGTTATAGACATGTTGTTTAAATCACATGTACATTATACTTTTATTACTGACTGATTCATTTACACACTTATCCGAAGATAGAATTGGTATCTTTGCATTCATTTACCTACATTATTGGTGTTATGCAGTTGAGAATCAAAAAGTATTGATTTGCATTTTGACTCAAGGGTCACTTTCTAGCTTTTTTCCAGACCTCTCACCTCACATCTCGTTCTGCTAGTAATTTACAGATTTGGCTGAAGGTTTTAGGCCTCGTGTGCTATCACGTGATAACGTTAGGAAAGCTAGTTTCCAGGGTATTTTTGAATGGAGGAAGAAAATTCACATTTTTGCTTTTTGGCTCCGTAGCTTCATTACTGCAGACTCTTAAAGGTGCAGTGCAAGTTTGTGACCACGAGCAGCGCTGTGGAGCAATGTTACAAATGGGTCACTGTTGCATGTTGGTATCAGGTGATGTGATTCAAATTCCTGCCATGAGTTTCTTACTCTGATTCCACAAATAGACAGATGGCATTTTATTTCTAGAGTGTTATTTTACGTATTTAAAGTACAATATTTTATTATAATTAAAGTCAGAGTTTGGTTTAGGTTCAGCAGTTAGAGAAGCTGCTGCTGCTGCAGTGTAGATACAGTAGGATAGTTAAAATGACAGAGCCACTATTTTCTGTTTCCACTTCTTCTTGGTGTGAAAGTGGCACCAGCTGAAGGTGTTCGACGCAGGTTAGGTTCTTCCAAATCAAACATTCACCACAGGTTTATGTTGTGAAATGCAAAAGGTATGACAACCGAATGTTCAGGGGGTAGACGGGCCAGTGGATGGGAAAAAAAAAACTGCCACTCTGACGAGCAGGGCGGCAGAAGAAAACCCAGTCAGGCTGGCAAACAGACAGACAGCCGAGCAGATCACAGAACGGCCGGCAGGCAGGAAGCGTGAGGTGGCCGGCCACAACGAGAGCAGACAGCTGGAATGTTAAACTATCACACCAGCGTACATGACATGTCAACCCCACTTACAACAGGCTCGCAGGCTGTACCCTGCGCAGAGTCGAGTTAGAACGCAGCCTCGGTGGTTTTACCCCCTTTGGCTCAGCGTGATCTGTCTGGTTCCACCGCAGTTTAAATCAGAGTTAGAGGGAGATAATCTGCCACATGTGACGCCGATACTGTGACTACGAGATCAGGCAGTTGGTGCAGTCCTCAGAGAGCTGCAGAAAAACAGTCAGGGAAACCTGTTAGGATCGTTTTATTTACTCTCATTACAGGAAGATTCCAGTGTAATTTCATTTTAAATCATCATTTATCTGTTGATACTGTTTTAAAAATTCAGTCTGCAGCTGAGTTTTCACTGCTTCCTGGTGATTCACCTTGAAACAAGAACCCAGGATGATGCACAAGATGGCGTCACACATGACATAATGTTAAGAGAGGAGGCTCTGAGCCTCTCTCTGATTGGCTGACTGTTTTCTGCATGATGGAATGAAAACATTGCAGATTTCAGATGAACACTCCGGCAAGGTTGGATAGTGGGTCCAGGTGGGCGGGGTTTGGTGACTGCTTTGTTGTGACATCACAAAGTTCCAGAAGTCCTGACGGCTGGTTTTAAGGCTCAGTTTCTGAATACAGGCTGTGTGCATTTCTCTGTGGACTGAGGCTTTGATACTTTCACAGTATTAACAAAGAAGCCAGACCTGCTTTATAATCAAACTACACATGGTAATCTCATTTAAGAGTTGAGTGTAATTTCATTTTAAATTCTCATTATTTAATATGAGACAGTGATGGATATTTCTAGATTTCTAGCATCAGTTTTCTCGGCTGAATGAGGGCGTTCTCCATTTTAATGTTCATGGCTGGTTTTGCTTTAAAACAAGAAAAAGATGCATATGATGGTTTTATACATCATATTGTGCTAAAAGAGGCTGAAGCTCATTTTCTTTGCAATATATTTTAGAAAGATTGTCTTGTGAAACTCGTCCCGGTGACTTCTCAGTGCTTGCGATTGCGGTAAAGAAATAATTGGGGATAGAGATGATGGAAAATTACACTGGAATTATCCTGTGGACCTGCGGACAGCAGCAGGCATGTCATCAGCCTAGAAAGCAGCTGAAACAATAAATGAACATGTGTTCTTGTATATTACAACCTTGTTTCCTTTGTTTAAACGACCTGATGTGTCAGATTTCAGTCTCCTCCGACTTTGTTGTACCTGGGTTCAAATTCATTTGTTCATACAGCTGATTACAAACAACTTAACTATATTGCATCAACATCATTTTATATCAGTGGTTCTCAAGCTTTTTCACATCAAGGACCCTGAACTGACACACACTAGACCACAGACCCCCATCTGTTGAGATTTCTGCTTTTAGATGTTTTATTACAGAAAGTGTTTGAAACCCATGAACAAAATAGTCAAACATTCTGTCGTGGTGTTACTTATGGAGGGAATTATAGTGAAAATAAATGATTCCCCTTTTTGCTGCCCACTTTGAGAACCACTGTTTTATATTTATTTAGATAGTAGCTGCAACCTTTAATTAAAAATTCCACAATCGCCACAATTCTACTGAAACAGGAAAATGTTTCTGTAACATTAGTTAATAAGTGTAATTTTATATCCAGGTTATACAAAGGAACTGCATTCATATGTTCAGTGTGTGTGTAGAACATCTGGATTTCATGCCACAGATCAACGATGAGTGAACAAACACTTGCGTCCTTGTACCTGTTTAAATCAATCAATCATTTTGACATCAGTGAGACTGTAAAGAGACTGTGGGGTCAAAGGTGGAACCAGAAAAACCATGTTCATCGTGTGTTTCACAATGATTTCACACCTGAGATCAGTTTTTCACAGCGACAACACACATACAGTAAAATAGTTTTCAGGATTAACGGATACATTTTCATCAGTGTCGGTGAATCAGGAGGAAAATGTGAAGGAAAACACACATTAGTACCATAAAACAGGGAAACACACACTCACACACAGCCACTGTAGATGCTTCCAGTTGATAGGATATAAAGTTTACATGTAATAAACATCTGTATACTGCTTGAATATATGAAACTGAGTTTATCTGAATCTCCTGCAGGATTATTTTGAAGGCTGAGGTGTCGGAGGCTGCTTTGTTCTGTTGTAAAACTTATTGTACGTAGAGGAAATTAAAACACAGTGGTGAAGAGTTTTAATTTTATTACAGATATACTTTATCCGGTGATGCTTTGTGCTTTACCACACATTTAAGATTCTTTAAATGTTTCTGTTTTTGTCAGTATTTTATTAAAATTGCTATCGACCTTGTTTATCACACAGGGGACGGACTGGTATATGTTGTATGAATTGTAAACAGAGTTATGACGTTAGAATTTGTTTTTATTTAAGGAATTCAGCATTTCGAATGTTATTTCTGTGTTGTTGTTACGTCTCTCCTGCTGACTTCAGGTCAAAGTATTGTTGAATACATTTCAGAAACTTACTGTAACAGACCAGTTTAAACGGCTTTCACATTTTAAAACCCACCCAGGAGCCATGATTTAACCATCTCAACAAATCAGAGCACTGATGATTCATTTCTCAGCTGGAGACTGCACATCCTTTCACATTCATGATGAACAGTTGATTGTGAACTTACAGGAGTTAATGTAGACGCGTCCATTTTTCACACCAGTCTATATGACAGGAAATGTAAAGTCTGCACTTATGCAAAAATAAGAGGAATTTTAGCTTATTAACAAAATAAAAACAAATGCCTGACTGTGTGTGAGCCTACAGCAGCCCTGAAGGACAAATTTGTCAGCAGTCTGACATGACGCTGTCATTATTTGCAATTCACAAATTGAGTGGACTTTAT